AGACCACGTTGGACATGAGGAACAGGAACTGCTGGGTCACCATCGACTCTACCTTGCGCTCCATGCTAACTTCCACGTCCGCCGCCGCCGCCGCCGTCGCCGCCCCACCCTTGGCGACTTGGTCCCGTCGGCTGTTGTCCTTCTTACCCCGGCGGCCGCCTCCCCCTCCTCCTCCTCGAGGGGGGGACGAAACCGAATCATCCCCTGCATTGTTGATATTGTCGGCCTCTGCTTTCTTGGCAGCCTGCTGCTCCCGGTACATGTGAAAAAAAACGTAAAAATCATTGGGGTCATCGAGTAACGAGAGAGGCGATGTTAGACATGAGTATGGAAGACCAAATAAACTTCAGAGGTTCATACTGATATTTCGAATTGTTGCTTGCTGTCATTTTGTACATTTGAATCGGCGTATCAAGTCAGCAAGGGTAAGGAGAAAAAAAGGCTGCATCATCCGTGAATCGAACACGGGTCGCGTGAATGGCAATCACGCATTCTACCACTGAACCAATGATGCACAAGTGCGTGCTAGAACAATGTTCTGGTACCTCAACAAATCAAACTATCCGCTGTCATTTGGTACATTTGAGCCGGGAACAAGTTTGATGCACCCATGGGTACGCAAATAAGCCATGCACCCATGCCCTCGACAGACTGAAAACACCACCTGTAGACGAAAAATTGGACAAAATTTTCCGATGCTCGAATCCATGACCTGCACTTTTGTATGACGAACGTGCGTCCCTACGACCACCAACGAGTTGATTTACAAAGCATTTCTATTTACAATCAAAGCAGTTGTAGCACTAGACTGGTGCTTCTAAAAACTAGATGCTCTGCTTTAGCACAGGCAAAACCGGCTTTAAAAACCTGACGCAAACGTTAACCCTAACTGAAACCCACCCGATAGGTGCTAGGTTGGCGCTGGGTGGCTCAGTCCTAGGTTGGTGTGCCGGGCTTGGTACTAGGTCGGTGTTGAAGGTTGACGGGAGAAACTCTAGGTTGTTACTGCTTGGATTAGATTGGCGTTGATGGGATAAATCTAGGTTGATATTGCCTGGATAGGTGCTAGGTGCTACGTTGGCGCTGGGTGGCTCAGTCCTAGGTTGGTGTGCCAGGCTTGGTACTAGGTTGGTGTTGAAGGTTGACGGGAGAAACTCTAGGTTGTTAGACTAGAGCTTGGATTAGATTGGCGTTGATGGGATAAATCTAGGTTGATATTGCCTGGATAGGTGCTAGGTGCTACGTTGGCGCTGGGTGGCTCAGTCCTAGGTTGGTGTGCCAGGCTTGGTACTAGGTTGGTGTTGAAGGTTGACGGGAGAAACTCTAGGTTGTTAGACTAGAGCTTGGATTAGATTGGCGTTGATGGGATAAATCTAGGTTGATATTGCCTGGATAGGTGCTAGGTTGGTGGGCCTTCGAGAACGGTTAGATCGCTCTTGGGTGATAAACGGTTTTCGTGCAGGTCTGCATAGGCGGGACTGCAAAGGTGTGGGTGAATGGCTGATGTGCGTGCCCCATGGGCATTTCATATCTTTAGTACGAGATTCGCGGACGATCTTTGCATAGATAGGCATCGTCATCCGAATCAGTCTCCTATTTGCCATTTGAGCCGAGGTATAATGACGTCTACTTCATGACGGGGAAAAATGAAAACAACCCATGCATCATCCGTGAATCGAACACGGGTCGCGTGAATGGCAATCACGCATTCTACCACTGAACCAATGATGCTAGCAACCTTATCTAACTTGTCTTATTGCTCAAGGGAGCAAACTGCTCGCTATCAAGGTTTCAAGAACTCCTAATAACCGTTCCGATCTCTCTATCCTGTACCTCCCTCCGTCAGTAGCGATCATACACTTGGCGCGGTCGATTCCTGCGGCCACAGGCTAATTTACCCGAAAGAGGTACGCTCAATTACAATAGACCGGAAGGGTCCACAAGCTAAAAGAAACCAACGACACATCGAAGTAGCCCATGAAGAGTCCTCCGCTCGCCTCTACCCGCAATGTGAGGTAACAATGAAACGGAAGTCAACATCACGAGCCAGAGAGCGAGGTACATCCCTGGTTCAACCTTGGTACCGTAAAAGTGCGTGTCATGGCACCAATCGTTCATTTCGCACCCTTCGGTATTATACCGGGTTGCGCACAAAATCGCTACTGACAGGACGACATGATATAATTGCATTTCCGCACCAGGGTCGGTGCGATATCAACCCGGTGCCATATCAACCATATGAAACCTGCTTAGGACGTGAATTTGCGTGTTTTCGCAAGGTACCGGTACGCTCCGGGCCACGTTTGCACTTACGTAACGCACGGATGTGGTGCTGGTAGGTATCAGTTGGGACGCCATTCTTTCAAGAATGTACATCAATCTGTCGAGGTGGTCGTGTAGAAATGGCTCAAAAGCACCGCATGATGACACTGTCATGTCTTCCGGATCGCACACATCAGTGACATCGCACCAGAGGTGCGTTGGAAATCTACAACGTAATGATTTAATTGCTTTCCCGCGCCGGTATCGGTTATGGTACCCATCGGTGCTATGACACCGGGGTGCGTAAAAAAGCAAGAGTGGAACGATTTCAAAAACGATCTCACCCCGGTGCCATAACACGCACATTTACGGTACGGTCGACCCCGCATAAGGACACCTATCGTTTTGTTTTTTTTAAGTGTCCTTTACGCGGGGAGTTGTCCTTAAGATTCTGGGGGTGATAACTCACCATCCCCGGGATCAACGGAGGCGTAACACACAGCAAAGGAGCGCGATTGCAGCAGGGATACGAGCACGAACCATCATATTCTGACGATCACAACGTGGTGTGGTGGTTGAAAGCTGTACGCACTTACACACCACGTCGTTCGCTGTCAACCTTTACATTGTAACACTCCCCCCCTCACGCAATAATTTGGACAGTGGGTAGAGTGCTGCAGGACGAGGTACAAATTACAACAGCAGGGTGTTGTTGTTTCTTTTGGCTTTGATCATCTACCAATTGGTTTGGAGTTGTAACCACTTTGAAAACGTTGCCGAGATGCGTGTATATCTTTACCACCCAAAAAAGAACGTAATCAACCGTCGCTGTAACTCTGATACCATACACCGGCTCTACCGTGGCTACCTGCCAAACAGGGAAGGAACTACATATGGAACAAAATCACAACTGTCGGGAAGGTACACAACGCCAGAAAAAAAACACGAGAAATATACCAAAAAAAGATAAGAGCCCATCGCTCCTGCCCGAAGGCCAAAACCAGGCAGAATTTCCGAGCGAAGCGAATTTTTCTTCACGCAGCAGCGGCAGCAGCAGCACTAAGCAGCACAGGACCGCTTGCCGTGCAGTGTAGCGTGCTGCATAGGTGTGGTGCAGCATCATATGGGGGTCCCGCGTCAAGAAACCGGCATCCTCCACCTCAACATTTATTGTATGTCTGCGGGCCACCCTGCTTCTGACATTTTCTGTGTCCTTAATGCGGGGAGTTGACTTATGATGAGTGCCCTTAGAGCGGGGTCGACTGTACTTCACAGCCGATGATAGAAGGCCATCTGGAAAAGAACAAAAAAAGAAAAGAAAATGATCACACGCCAAAATCACTCCTGCTGTTGCCACCAAACAGGACCATCGGCGACCAGCAAAGGCACGTCGTCACCCGTAGGAAGTTTGTGCAATGGTGCAGTGATGGGGGGGGGGATTGGCGAAGACTTTGATCCGGCATCTGTCGCGCCTACCGGTCCACCTCCGTGCACTGCCCCTCTCGCGACCATTTCAGAATAGGGAAAAGGAACGGCGAAAAATTACACTGCATCATCCGTGAATCGAACACGGGTCGCGTGAATGGCAATCACGCATTCTACCACTGAACCAATGATGCTGTTGTGCATTAAGGCTTGAAAATGTTGCGTATCTAAATGATATTTTGATGAAATCGCAGCACCTGGCCAGCCCTTTGTACCGTTTCGGGGTTAGACTACACCCAGCGCGGTATGCCTGTCTCACAATTCGTCTAATCAGTCGGGGTATCGTAGAAAAGCATGATCCCAGCGCGAGTTCACGACACAGCCATTCGGAAACGGGCGTCAACAGCAAGTACAACGCGCAAAAAAGACTGTACAGAGTAGTACACAGGCCCATCTGCCATCTGCCGCCTCTTTGCCTTGTTTTGTCCTGTTTTCTCCGTTACTCCCATGCCCTGGTACGTAGTGCCTGGTGCTGGTACGTTACCCTTTGATTTTTTCTTTGGGCGGGTGTGGGAAGCGTCCTCCTTTTTTATTGTTTTTGTTTCATTTTGATTGGTTTCCGAGGGCTCTTTTCTCGAACGGTCGGTGCGATGCCTGTCCTTTTCTTTCTATCATTTGTGTTCTCTTACGAGTGGTCTGTACCCTATTTTTGTTTTGTTTTGTTTCCCCGCGGCGTCGTATGTGCCGGGCTTTGAGACCACGGGCTCCCCATTTTTTGTGGACTTCAGAGCTAATGTGAGAAACAACAACAACAACAACAACAACAACAACAACAGGGAATCTCGCTTATGAAGCATAGGACTCTCTTATGTCGAGGGCCACCACAAATACTACAAGCCCCATCCTGGAGGCAAAAATATTTTTGAAGTTTAAAGCCAAAATTGCCAAAAAATACTTTTGATTGCAAATTGCAGCGTACAGGTGACCAACGCTGAAGTACCCCCTACACTGCTGCATTTTCGCGACGAGGAACATAAGCAAACGCACAGCTGTGCTGACCATATAAACCAGACTGGACTGGCACGCAAGGCTATCACAAATCCGCCGCTTTTTTCTCTTTCGCCGCTCACTGGATTTAGCAAGAAAATGTCTCTGTTGGGTGGAAGTGGACAAATAGGGGGGGTGGTATCTAATCGTACGACAACAATCCCCTCGGTGCTCACAGTTCACAAGCGCTGCTCTCTTCCCATTTTCCAGGTTAAAAAGAACCGCGACTGAAAGTTGTGCAATATCGATAAAGGCGCAAAGAATACTCACAGCGTGCTGTTAGGACATAACATGGAAAAAAAACATAAGCAAAACTCACAGCGTACTGGTAGGATATGTGTGCCACCGCTTGCAGCGCCACGGTCGCCTCCTCTCTCCGGGGACCGCACAGCTGCCACGAGACCTGCTCCAGGATCTGTGGAAGGACGCCCTCGATGAGCCGCTTCGGGGTGCTTTCCGGGAAGTACCTGGAATTGTCCAGTCCAGTTGTTGATACAATAACAGTACGTTCGACGCCGCTGTTGTGTGGTTTCTCACGTTGTAATCCCCAACAGTAACGAACGTGAACTGGTAAGTAAGTTGTGTTGTTCGAGTCTTGGAGTGTGCGTTATCTCCCGGCACATGTGTGCAGCTATCGGGCTGTTCTCTGGGATGCACAATTAAGTGCTCAGTCCAGTCTGGTCGTACAAAGACCGATTTCAGGAGTTTGGTGAAGTGTGCTGTTTACCTCAACTTGATTGTTCACGTGTCTGTTGTTGCGTCGGCGTGCTCTCTTCGGGATGTGGTACCATTAAGGCAGTCCAGTAGATAACTGCAGACATTTAATGGAGAATAAGAGAGCATTGAGTCTTGTAACGCTCTGTGTGCCCCATCTCTTCCACTCGCGTTCGTCCGCGGATGAAACTGTGATGGTCTTCACATCGCAATGTCCCTAGCATACTCGTCAAGTACGACGTACAGCAGTTTTTCGAGCTCCCGAGATGGGCAGTGTGACTTTTGCCGCCCTCCTTCCCAGAGTTGGACCTCTTCGGATCGGTCCTTCTGGCAAGGCGCGTGTGCGACACTTGTCGAATTTTGAACTTCGTAAGGATAATGTCTGAACTATAGCAATCCGAGAAAAAACGCCGAATACGTAACCGGAAGCGAAGGGTGGTTACAAGTCCCGGACGAGATGGAGATGCGTAACGCTAAGCTATGTCCACCACGTCTCTTTTCTCTCAATGGCGAAACAGACATGTGGAGACGAAAAATTGAGCACAAGAATATTGGACAGATGGGTCCTCTCAGCTGAAGGCCTCCTATCCAGAGGAGTGACATCGAAGGCAGTACTCGAGAACGACACACTCACTTGAGCAAGAACTGAAGGCCGGGGCTGGACTTCTCGTCAGTCCAAGCTGAGCGGCCTCTCATAAGCACGTCCGTCAGCACGTGAGGGAGGTGCCGGTTCAGCAGCCGCTGCGGGGGGTCCTTCCCTCGCGCATCCCCCACCTGACGGGGAGTTAAGAGGGTATCGAGGCGTGCGGCCGGCGAAGGAGAGTGTACTCAACATCTTGCATGTTGTAGTCTTGGCATGACGCCTGGCAGCTTGAATTAGCACTATGGAGGCTTGTGTGTGAGTACGTGCGTCGAATAGAAGGCCATGGCGAGAGAAGGAGGGTCCAAGGAGATCAAGGCGAGCGAGGGTACACGATAGACCTTCAGTAAATTAACTTTTGTACCGTCAAGCGAAAATTTCACCCAGACACTACATGTGGATGAACATCGGTAAGGCCTACTGACAACACCACATCTGGCTATCGTACTGTAACCAACCACTACGACCATCACCTTGCGTACCTCGAATTGGTCGCACAGCGCAGCCAGTTGCTCCACGGCGGCAGCCTTGCTCCCAGCAACGAAGATGGGGAGCACGTGGGCGACGCTGTCCTCCAAGAAGGCACGAAAGTTGCGGCTTCCAAGCGCCTGGTCGACACGTTTACGAGACGACAGGGAATGATCGGGTGGTCACCGATAAAATGAGCGAAGAAGAAGACATGAGATGGAGAGAGAGAGGGGGGGAGAGAGAGCAGTAAGAAAACAGACGTTCAGTGAGATCTGTGGAGGCAGGAAGTAGAGTATTGAGGATGGTGAGACCACATTCACGAATGGTGTTACGCAGCACTGCTTGTGAGTTGTCAAGGCTCAGTTTGTCGAGGAGAGGATCCAGACGGCGAAGAAATCTCGTGCCCTACGTCGTTCAACGCCATGAAGAACATCCACCAAAAAACACCATTCCATCAGGAGCTGTACGTGAGAGCGGGGTTGGAAAGGAGCGCGTTTCACACGCGCTTCCAAGAGTTCTAAAAGCACAGTTCTTGCCGCCGTGTAGTAGCCAGCTTCCCGAGAATCGAGCACCACTACCTGAACAACTAGGACTGCAAAATGCTCCAACAAATACTTCGAAAGGTTTCTATCAAATTCAGCGCTGTTTTAAACTGCCTATTTATCCCCAACATTGCCAATAGAAAAAAATGCTCGCGCGAGAAGGTGAATCAACGGACGTCCCTCCCCTCCCGCCGCACCTGCTCAACAAACTCTTCCACGTGGCCCGTTTCCATGAGCTTCTCGATCAACGGAGCCAAGATGCTCCCGCTGTCCATCTCAAGTCCCACCACACCAAGCGGCGCCAACCTTCCCCGTCTGCCGCCCAGCCGCGGAGCCCTACCACGCGCTCCCGCCCTTGACGCCCGCGCTCCCCGGTCCCGCTGCCTGTCGCCGCTCCCGCCGAGATACGAGGCCGAGACAGGCGGCAGCCGCAGGAGGTGGGGCAAGGGCGCCTTGCCGTGGTTGCACACACGCACGATCTGCTCGTGGGCGGCCGGGGCGCACTCATTGCCCTCGTCCACCCAGACGTCAACCAGACGTATCAGAGTCCACAGGTAGACGGTCCGGCCCAGGTCGTCGGAAGGGTCGCTCTCGCATCCAATCGATCTGGTTGGTTTTTGTGTTTGTCGTGATAGAAGTTGGGCCGAGTACAGAGATGATGCTTTCAAAATGACGTGCTGGGAAGCGTTTGGATGGCCAACACGCACCAGGGGGAGGGAGACATGAAGCTCACGGCTTCGTACATTCTATGCAGATAGTCTTTGAAAAAAAAACGTTCACAAGGTACCTGCGGCGACAGCGCTGAACCAGAGCGGATAACACAACCAACACGGCAAATGACCTTGAAAACCGATCGATCGCCAGAACGTAGCCCTACATCAGCGCTGCACATTCATCAGGAATTCACCACGACTCACCCCAACGCCCTGAGCAGCGCGGTGAACTCGTGCAGCGACTGCCAGCGGCCGAGACGGAGCCCGTCCCCATGCTCCTGGAGCATCTTTCCAATCGTTTCGATGAACCTCGAGAGCGCCTTCTCCCTGGAACGAGCCTCTCGCTCCTCTTCTTCCTGCGCATCGCATGTTTCCTCTTCTTCCTCCTCCTCCACGTCCATCTCCTCAACTCGCGCTCCCTGCGCTGCGGCATCCACGGAGTCGTAGTGATACATCGCGCGCAGCATCTTGCCGCCCTCGGCCACGAACAGCCCCGCGCCGCCCGCCACCACCCAGGAAACCTCGGGATCTCCACACGAGAGCATGTTCGTCAGAAGCCGGAGCACGGCCGCCCCCGCACGACCGGCCGCCCTCAGCCGCGACAGAGGCGCCACCGCTGCCGCCGCAAGCACCGCGCGCGCGGCCGCCGCCCGCACGGCGACCGACTCGTCTTTCAGTAGCGCCGGCCACAGGGGTAGCATGTCCACGAAGACGTTCGGTCCTACCGGTACCCGTTTGCCTAGCATCGCCCCGAGAGGGAGTCCGCCCCGTGAGGGGTGGTGTCTTGGGCGCTGTAGTCGCCGCAGTACAGCGGCAGCGGTCGCGGTAGCGGTCGCCGTGGTGGCAAAACCTGCGTTTCTTGCGGTTCTGTCGAGCGAAGCTCCTAGACGGAGAAGTCCCGAGGCGACCTCTAGCCTGATTTCTTCAGAGCCGCCCTGGCCACCGTTTTCGCAGAGTTCTAGAAGCGCTGGGAGCCACCGCGTCTTCCAGTTGCATGTCGCTGCGTGCTCAGTGAAGCGCCCAACACTGCTGCTGCTAACGTTGCTTAAACACTCGCCCTGCTTGGTGCCGCAAAGCGATAAAGACGGCAACACGGCTACAGAGCACTGCGTCACGAGCGCACTGCCGTCATGCCGAAGAACAGCCAAGAAAGTCTCTTCGACGTCGAAAACGAAGTCGTCACCACCTTCGTGGTTGTCCACAGCCCCACCTCCGCCCGTATGGTTAAATCTGCCACTGTCACCGGCGCCTAGGCTACCACGACGATCGTCTCCCCGAGCGCGTTTTTTATTTGGGCGCCCTTCGTCATTATCATCTTCACCTCTTGAACTCCGCTGGCGTAGTCTGGTACCACCAACTCCTGCGGCACCGAAGTCATTAGCGTCGTCGCCCGCACCCGATCCTTCTGAAAGCGCAGTGGCCAGCAGGAAACACTTGAGCGGGAACGGAGCGGGTGCTTCCGCCGGTCCAAGAGCGGTGCCCGTCAACGCCAACCCCTCCAGAGCCTCGTTTGCATAGCCCCAGCCAGGGGCAAGGACGAATTCCAGGGCCTTTTCCGCCACGGACCTAATGGTGGTCCCCAGACGAGACGATGGCAGCTCGCCTCGACTCCCAGCAGCCCGGCCGCCGGTACCGGCCTCGTTGCTCCCCCCTGACGGACGACGAACAATGAAGGGAGTGGGAACGTCGGCCGCGCAGCTCACGAGCATGTCCCACAGTCCAGCGACCGCGCGGGGCGCTGATGCCCCGGACTCTCTGCTCTCCTGGTATCGTGAGACCGTCCGCAACGCCGCACCGAAGGCCCCGGCCAGTTGGTCAATGAGACTTGGCCACCCCCGGTCACCCGCCCTGCTTCTTTTTCGGGTGCCGGGGCTTCGTTTCCTTGTGCTCGCGACGCGCGGCGTTGACGATCCGCGTTTCTGCCCCCGCACCCCGAACTCTAACTTCTTCCCGGCCTTGTCCGCACCGTTCGTGCGAGCCTTGACTCGTGCGGCCCGTGCATAAGGTGCCAGTATGCGGAGGGCGCACGTGACCCCCGCCGTGTGATGGAGAAGAAGGTGCAGGCGTCCAGCCGAGCTGCCAGTCACCTCCCCGGGTTGAACAACGGCGACGGCAGCAGGTCTGTCAACTCCGCCACTGCCCCCGCCGTCGCCTTTGCCATCACCAGAACTTGTCTCCCGCGCCGCCGTTCGATCGGCCTCGAAAAACTCGACGGCCACTCTGGCGCGGGCGAGCACCGCGTCAATGGCCTCACGCACCGAAGAATCCCCCGAAAACGGCAAAGGTAACGCCTGCCCTGATCTCCCCGCAAGCAGTGTCGTCTTCCTCCTCCCCGTCTTCGACAACCCTTCTGCTCTGGCGAACGAAGCTCGTCCTCCTCCTCTTACGGCACTTTCTGGCACCAATGACCCACCACGGTTTCTTCTTGCTCCGCTGTGGCCGCCGGCCGCCGCGGCTCTCAGTCCTTCAGCCTCGAGGGTCACCCTACCCTTCTTCTTTGCCGACGGCGGTCGTGGAGGTGGGGGTGCCATTTCCCCCGCTGTGGCTCCTCGTCCTCCTCTTCCTCCTCCTCTTCCCCCCCCTCCCTGCGCGCTCACTGCTCGATTTGGATCACCCCGTGCGAGCTCTTGATCCGCCGGCCCCGCTCGCCGAAGCACCGCAATGGGAGCTTGCGGAAATCGCTTCAGAACCACCCGAAGAGCGCGCACGAGCTCCGGCTGGACACATGGCACGCCCACGAGCGCCGACACTGCCGCCGCAAATCGCCTTGGCACGGGCGGAGGCGCGGTGGAACTGGCGACGGGTCGCCGTGCGGCTGCAGGGCGTGGAGTAGTGAGTCCAGCCCCAAACCTGGGCGTCCCTGCGTCCCAACCTCGCGGGGTCTCGGAACCGCTCCTCTTTCGCGGCGTTTTGTGTTTCGCCGTCGCCTTCCCCGAGGCACCGGCCACTATCGCAGACACCTTTCCAGCGGACGCGTGCTGGCCGGCAATCTCCACCGCGGAAGCATAGGCCGCCGCGATGGCTCTCGCCAGGGCCACCGCTTCTGAGGTGTTCATCCGCGCTGCTCCGTTGACCTCGTCGACAGAGCCTTGGCAACTGGCCCACCACCGCCTGATGCACGGCAATGTGGCAGACAGAGCCGTCAAACACGCCGTAGCGGCTACTGCTGCTTCTGCTCCTGCCCCACCTGCTTTCGGGGCAAAAGATTTGGTAGCGGGGGCGGTCTTCTTCGTCGATGGAAGCCGCTGCCGCCGCCGTGGTCTGCGCAACCCTCCGGCAAAAGCTACTCTCACTCTTCTTGCGCCGCTGGTTGCGGTACGAGTTGCTTTTCGTTTCTTCTTCCGCTGCGGCTTGCTTTCGTATTGCCGGTACGACCCCGGCAATACTAGCCGGATACACCTCGCGGCCAGGTCCTGCCACAAGACATAAACAAGACAGCGGATTGGCGGTCACGGTACGGGCGGGTCGATGTACCATCCACATGAACGCAAGAGAAGATGCAAAGCAACCCATGTACGCAGTTTCAGCAAACGGCCAATTATATGGCTGGCCGCTGTTCCGTATGCACTCCTTGTCGAATAGCCGCCAATATCCGAGAGCGGTTTCTCCACACCTGGATGGCCGCCAAGTGCTCAAGCGCCATTGCTGGGTACTTCCTTTCGCTAGCACCCCCCACATCCATTGCTTCGCTTCCATCGGCACCGAGAGGCGGACACAGCGCACGCCCCGCAAGACGAACGCAGCTGATGCCCAGCTGAGGCATTGCTCCCACGGGAGGGGGATTTTCGAGGAGTACCGACAGAGCCTTGAGTGATACCTGAGGCACGGACAAACGGGGGGTCCACGAGAAAAAGGAGACACACAATGTGGGAATTGGGACGTCTGGTTGCTGCTGGCATGCTCCAGGTGTAAACGCATTCATGGCCGTTTCGCTGTTCGTTTTGGTGGGTATGGCCACCTGCTGCTGTCCCCGTGCAACAAGTCACACGTTTGTAAGCGGCGAAGAAGAAGTGTGGGCGGGATTGGTACATGTTGTCTCCTCCAACACAACCAAAACCTTTCGGGGTGGCGACTTATGTTTAGACCCCAGAACACAAGCGACACAGGCTGTCCCACCAGGTTGAATAAACCGACCACTCCAGCCCCCACAACGACCCCTGCTCTCCCTGCTTTGCGCTTGGGTTGCAACTCACCTGGAGCAAATCCTGCGTGTCCGGTCGAAGTTCCCTGTCGAGTTGTCGTCCTAACAGGGACCACAGTTGGGAGTATGCATGGGCACCTGTTGCGGTCTTGAAGAGAACAAGTGTGCGCACGAAAGGATTGAAGTCGAAAGAGAGGGGGAGGGAAGCAACGCATCCACAGCATGCTACACACGCACAAAAAATCAAGGACGAGGAGGCGGGGGGGGGAATCCCGCAGGCTTCATCCCCGTCTTACACGGTAAAAACGTAACGAGCGCGAACAGCAGCAGCGGGCTGGCTCAAACTGGAATGCGGCATACTTACAGCGGGTCAACGTACAAGGATTTACTCCAGCGCATACGCAAGGCTCACCGCTGGCATGAGCGCGCCTACCGTCGCCGTGATGCTTGTCATGGAAGCCTGGACATGCAAAAAAGGAGGTAAATATTCACCGGAGAGAGGGGAACGGAGGGAGTTAAACCGGCGACTTTGTGTCCGGGACGCGCCACAACCGAGACAAATCACCATCTACATCGGAAGACACAGGGGTGCCCAAATTTTGCATTCTCCATCGAATGGTCGAACGGTGCTTCAGGCGAAATTAGTGCCCGAACTCCTGTGAGGGAAAAGTCACGCTTTCTCCGAGACACTCACCCGGAAGAGAGAGAAGTGTTCTCTCGAAGAAAGCTCGATGTCCAGAGGGCCCTGTCCGAGGCCCCTCCCCAGACGAGCGAAACACACCACTCGCGTCCTGCTCCCCGCCCCGCAAAAAAAAGAAGGGCACACGCAGACGAACAGTGATGTGGAACCAGCAGCAGGAGCTGGAGGTGTGCGCACGGCGTTTGGCCTCTTGTTCACAGAGAGCACGTACACCAACCACCGAAAACCATAATATGTACTATCAACGCTGGCTCGGAGCGAAAACTGTCTTTTGGTCGTGTTCGCAACCCATAGTGCGTATTTATACACGTAAGAATGAATGCGAGCAAGCGGAACGCGGCGCATGCTTCGTCACGGTACGATTTGAGCACTTTGTAAATGGGCTTGGCACGGTTTAAAATGTGGCGGGAAAGCACTTCGAATTTTGCAAACAGGAGCATGGTTCCCTTGCCATATTCAAAGTTGCCACCACGGACGGTCTTCATCTTTACGGGGAAAAACGACAACCTTCATCACGTACGTGTCGTCGTGGTCTCCCTCAACGTCAACACGGCTTAGTTGTTATAGGTCATACCAGCACAACCGAAAACCAGGCCGACCCCGCGTGTTAGTGCTCGAAGGTGTTCGATTTTACCGGTTGGATGTGCAGGAGTACAGGATGTCTTACCCGGCAACCAGGACATTGGCTTCACCTCGTTCTTCTGCAACCCGGCCTAACCGTTCCACATTCTAGGGGGCGCAGGCATGCACAGGGAGGGGCGAGCCAAAAAATAACGCGCGCGAGACGGGGGCAGAGGAACGGCGTAAGGAGTGGTGGTCCGGGAGGCCGCGCGGGCTGAACGGCGGCCGTGACGGATTTGACCAAAGTCGCTGCACGGGAAACAACGCAGTACTCTGAGTCGTCGCAGCTATCGAGACAAGGAACAACGGGCCAGTCTGGGAAGAGCAAAAAAAGCGGAACGGCGGTCACTACAGCGCCAGCAACACACGAGGACGCGCGTAGAATGCATGTACACAGATTCGATCAAGTACAAGAAAAAGGAAAAAAACTAGTTCGAGGCAAAGGACTCATCTCGAAGACGCACAGCAAATCTTAACCGCAAGTTTCGGGTAGCGAACATAGCAAAGTGTGCCATGCGTTCCTATAAGATTTAACCAACGAAGTAACGACTGAAGTATTCTTCCCCCAACCTCTCCGTATACCTCTCTCACACACCTGGAGCAGCTCAACAGAGTCCTGGAAAAAACCCACAAGGGAGGCGGCGTCACGCGGAAGCCAGAGCGACGCCAACAGGCCGACGTGCTGCACGAGGCGGGGCTGAAGGCCGGCGAACCGCGGCAGTGGTAGCAACGCGCACAGCTTTCTAACCGGGAAAGACACCGCCCGCGCTCCACCTTCGCCGAAGACCAGCTGCGCGTGTTCGCATTCGAGGTACGACTGGCTGCGGGGATTTGGAGCGTAGGGCAGGATTCGGAGGAGGAAGAGAGGTGTTTCAGTGAAACAAGCGACACGGGCGGGGCAACCTGCGGCACGGCATCGCTATCCAGTATGATTATGGGATCAGAGCCAAGGGTTGTCGCTATACATGCGTTGTTAATGTGTCCGTAAGCCAACTGGTCGTCAAACGCATACCCCCAGTTATCAGGGGGTACTATCTTGCGTATGAATTGGTTGAGGTGATACACTCTTGTGTTAGCATAGACCTTGCCGCAAACGATAAGACGCACTGGCGGCAGTTTCAGCAGTAGCAGCAACAGGCTTCGGTAATGGTGTTGGCGTGAACACACACCATGCGCTGCAGCTGCTACAGCAGTACAGCAGGACACTTCGCGCATATTTCTGTGCATTTCAAATTTCAAAGCGGGAAGATAACGAATTCGCATCCTACTTTTTGGTGCTTGCCGCTTCTGTGTCGAACCCTCACCCAGAAAACATGACATGGAAAAGCAGCATCTCCGATACCCTGGATGGCTCAGCATCGACGCTGAAGTGCTCATCAACCAGACCCTCCAAGTTCCTCTCGACGGCCCTCATGATGGCCTGGCACTCGTCGCTAGTCCTGGCGTGGTGGTCCCTCAAGTGGCGGTTGATCTTCTCCATCACACCCTCCAGGGTTGCCTCCTCGCTGCTGTCGCTTCTGCTAGCATTGGCATCGGAGTTGTGCATCGCTGCTCTATTAGACGGCATAGACACGAGGAGCCAACAAGCGTACGTTTCGCCAGCATGAGGTAGTCTTCTTCGCTCTGCCCACTGAGGTCTAGCAATCCTGCTGCTGACTGTCCCCGACAATGTTGTGGCGGCCCTGGAAATAGGAATATTGACCATTGACCATGGGCTTTGTTAGAGAGCGTTGCCATACCTTCGTGACAGGGGAGGCCACGCATGTAATTAGCGTTTGCGACCGCGGCCGCCACACAGGAGAACCTGCGTGGTGTGACAGCAATTTTGGCCCGCGAACACCTCATACCATACGGCCAGGAAATGCACGAGGAAGGTACTTAGGTGCTGTAGGGAAGGGCCGGACGAATCGGACTATACCTGCAGGGATGAAGGGGAGAACTGAGGATACATGTTTAGTCTAGTCTCTGGTGGTATTAGGATACCAACCGTGCTATTTTCTGGCTGTGCGGATGATAGTTTGCGGGAGGATCGGGCCATTTGCGTAGCCGTGCAAAAAACCTCCAATGCACACCTATGTCTATGTGCAGGTGTGTCGTTCATAATCAACCATTTCAAATGTTGGTCGTCGTCGTCGTCTACCATCATGATGGTGTTCGCTTTGTGCCGTGCGGACTCGAGCAGCCACAGGCGTGTGTTGTCCATACGGTACTTTGTACAGGGGGTGGGAAGGGAAAATGTGGGTGCTGTTGTCACTTCCGGTCTCTCTAAAAGTGTAGCCTAGGGTTTACTACTCTACACACGCGGAAAAGTGTAGTACACGTCTCGCCACGAAAAATGGGGGGACCGTCGCCATAATAAGTAGGACGAAAACACACAAACACACCCGGCAGCAACATTCTCCCAATTCCCGTGGTCTCAGGCTAACTTGCCTAAAAAGCTACCACTCGAATGGACCCGAAGATGCTGCGGTTTGTTCAGCGAACGAAATAGGCCGCAAGATACTTCGGCAGCACATTGATCAATGTCGATGGATCACTGCCATGTGGTCGATGTTGCAAGACCATATTCGCATTGCTGCCAGAGTTGGTGAAGGAAATGCGGTATGTGGACATGACGAACTCACATGCCGTCGTGTTTGGGGGTAGATACCCCCCTCGCAGTATACTGTATCGCTGCGCGGGGTGTAACTGACCACACGCCTGTAAGATTGGCGCAAAACACGCATGCTCTGTACCTGAGAATACGACCCATACTTTCTGGCGAGCTCATATAGAAGGGTGCTGCGTACTCCAGTCAATATTACGCAGCCAATGTAGCCCACCCTTTGATTCTGAATGCTTTATTTCCCGGATGAATATAGTCTGGACTATGCACTCAAACAGTAAATTGCAAGGTCTCCAACGCGTCAGTCCACGCGCCTTGAAACAAGTAGTCAACACGACACAGCACGTTCAAGCCGTCCCAAACGAACTCGACACGAAACTCCGGGCAAAGTCTTAACACGATGCATCACGCCAGCGGTATAACCCTGTGTTAAAGGCATCAAAGAGGGTGTATCGGCTCACGACCAATTACCGGCCGACGCGCCCATGCCAAGTTCTTCAGAGATTTGGTCGGAGTCAGACACAAATCCAGAGCTATAGTCTACTGCATCTCGGGCGTGAGCACGCCGGTCATCACTTTCTTGTTCTGGTCCTCTTCTTCCTGCGAGCTGGCTCTTCTCCCTTCGACCTGATGCGTTTAAGGATGCGCCTGGTTGGAGTTGGAGCCTTTGCACGGGGGCGCTTTACCATCTTCGGTCCCTTCTTGCTCGAGTCCTTCTCGAGCGAGCTCCATGCTGGCAGATCCACCGGGTGAGCAGAGGCCAGATCGCGGTATGTCTGCATCTCGAAGTTCTTGTTGATCAGTGAGAGGGTCCGCTTTGTCTTCTTTTGGGCTGCGGCAAGGTTTTAGACGTGTGGGTTTGAAGACAGAAGCACCAGAAGAACAAGTACTGAATGGTTCGTGTGACACGATGGACCCTGCGCAACTGTACGCCTGTTCAATATGTTTCCGAGTGGCTCCATTCCCTCTTGTCGAAGCGCCCTTTGACAAAGGAGGTATGGGAAACATTACAGGGCACACACAAAACACGAGAGCTTTCTAAAGTACCTCCAATCCGTTTCAGAATTTTTCACATCTCTCGTCCCTGCATTTCCGGCCAATAACCTCGCAACCATGAGCTTGGTTCGCATTTCAACCATGGCAAAAACACCGATTCTCAGGTGAAGCATCGTATCGTTCTCGATCAACAGCGATCGTTACTGGCCTCAACCAACTCATGATGGGAGTCATCACTGAGAACAACCGAGACGCACCCAAACGTAGACATCAGCTTTCCCACCTTTCGCCACTGCCAACAAGTGGCTGCATGGCAGCTGCATCTTCTTTGGGACGCCGCAGGTGCAGTCCATCTCGGGAGGGCCTCTGGATTGGCCGGAGGTCCATTTGATGGACACCTTGTGCCCATGTGTGGCGCCTGTCTTGGTGTCCGTTACAAACCACTTGCCACCGCCGAGAGGTGAGGCATTATGCCTGAAGTGACAGGGAACAAGGCAATGAACATCACACTTGGGTGTCTGAGGAACTCACGGCACCATGTTTACCCTACATGGTTACAAACCCTATTATTCTTGGGTGTCACTCTTGTGGTTACAAATCTCACCATTGTTAGGTGCTGGGGCGTTTTATCGATGTCGAATAAAAAACAAGTTATGAGGTCGTGACTGATCACTTTATTGGTAGCGACCGCTCCGTTTCAAACCGGTTGTAAAGAACCTTGCAGGGAAAAATCGTCAAACCCATAGCTACTCTGGTGGAGTCCTCACGCAAACTTGGAGCTTGATCAGCCCGAACATCCCTAGACTATGCCTACGTTCCCCGCAACATCTCACGTCAATTTATACGCCTTTCCCTCTGACTGCGTGGTCGTTCTGAAGAGATCTCCGTTGGTCTGAAACACACAGCAGTGTTTGCTGTAGACTTTTTTGCTTCGGGCACAGTTCGCACGCAGCTTTTGCCCCTGCTGGCACACATTTGTACACGTGTCTTTGACGTGTGTCTGGTGCTTTCAGCATTTTTTTTCTCACTTGCGAGAGGTCCGAGATGCCTCGTCGAACTGGGCCGTCGCAAATGGGGTGTGCGCCTGGCTTTCGTCATCCTTCTTGAGCTCACTGGCGTCGAAGAGCCGCTTGGCGATCAGCATGATGCAGCCGTGCACCAAATCGAAAATGGGCTTCCCTCGAAGCTGCGTATGAAGGACCAACGGGCAAGGAAAGCGTGTGAAAGTGCGGGTGCGCACTTGCAGTAGCGGTCTGAGAACTACTCATACAGCTTTAGTCGTGTAACTGCTACAGGAGCAACGGAACAAAAGTGTTACTAATTTCGAACAACCTGCATTGAGAGAGATAGATCCAATCTTCAGCAACAGACATACGAGTTCCCATGCCATCGGCGTGGCAACCACTCTTGACCCCACACCCCTGGAAAATCACCGCGAACGCTACGACAAGTTGATTTGCAATGAGGTTTTCATGTGGGAAATGTACATGAAGGTTCAAGTCAACAGCTGTATTTGTATGTAGGCATCAAGAGGCTTGCATGATTTCTCAACTCAGCTGGCGCATTCAAAACGACGCAAAACAGGATTACGCGAACCATCGCGTGTGAGTGAGCGAGGAAAGGTCAACATTGGCAGTGCCTTGTTGGCAAGCTTGAGCTAAAACAAGGAAACACCTGATTCGTTTCGAGGCAACTCCGTCTGAGGTTTTGCGAAAAATGTGTGCCTTCTACGATCACTGGCAAATAATCAGCTTGCTTTCAACAATAGTTTATCACCTCCAGGAGCGTCTTGTTCATGGACTCCGCCGGGTTGCTGTTGACCTGGAGCCAGCACACATTCTGCCGGCCTGCGTAGTACGCCCAGCGCTCGTGAGGGATGGCATCCAATTTGTCGTGCGCAGTCGGTGAAATATCGTATAAGCGTTCCATGCAGGCGAGGAATTCCGGCTCTGTTGAACTCTTTGCGGCTTTATACGCGTGTGCCTTGCCGTGCTGAGGAGTTGGGGGCAGTGGACAGGAATCGCAATAAGCTCTTTCACGCACGATGAACAGGTTGAGGTGTATTCTAAGAGTCTCGTCTGATGTACGGCTTTTCTCAGATACGCTGTGCGTGGGTGTCTAGGACGGACCGTCCAAGGCAAGACCCCCTTCGCTGGGGCACAGGAAGAGCCAGCGCATTGATGTACATCGCGATCACAAACATTTAAGTAACATGCAGAAACGTTTCTGAGTGCATCCAATGAAACAGGTCAGATCAGCGAGCAACCGTCGGTGGTACTAGACCGGCGTGCAAGCAATGAATTCCAGAACATTTCAACGTCTTCAGGTAAACCTTTACCCGGTGAGATTGAACCCTGCAATGAAAACACACCCGACCAGCCAGAGGGAAACGGTTACGTAGTTGAGGTCCCGAAGTGTTTAGGTATAGTGTGCAGGTATTGCCTTGGGCGCAGGGCACAGAAGAGCCACGCAATGAACACCAATCACAGGATTCCCCCATCCCCGTGGACTTCATGGGTCGAACCTGGGTGACGCCGATGAAGTCTCCGTCAGTGCTTGGACAATGAAGTCCCGCAGTGCCGCAAATGGGTGAAGGAAAATATGCTGAGGGAAGGCAAACGGAGACATAACTTTCAACCTCAAATGGCAGAGCGGCTAAGGGCTTTATCTTCACCCGGCGTGTTCGAAACGAAAGGCACTCTAGACTAGCCGTCGCACCTTGGCCCATATGCGGCAACTTCTGAGGATGTGCTCTAGGCAGTGCCGAACCTCCGTCAGCGGGGCGAGCTTGTTCATGGCGGCATCGGCACCCTTGTCATTGTCAGTGAAGCAGGTCGTCGCTGTCGCGTTCAGAAACTTCTTCATCCGCTTGCTGCCCATAGCCTTCCCAAGCAAGTACTCGTAGGACTTTGCGTTCTCCTCGCGGACCACCGCGAACGCGCACAGGTTGATGCTGTTGTTGGCGTCCGTAGTGGTGATCGTCAGGATGACACCGTTCCACGAGCCCCGCAGATGTGCCCCGTCTAAGCAAAACGCCTGTATCGTCATTGTGGAAAGGGTTTAATTATGGTGAGTAAGCACATTTGCCGGAAATACTTGCGCATCGCCCCTTTCTGGAGCAAGGGTTATAATGATAACACCCTGTCCGTACAAACTTTGGGTGACAAAATCGGAGCACGTTTTGTTGCTTGTTAAGCCCATCGTGACGGAATTTAGTTTCACAACAACCCATGGTTGTGTTCGTGTTGACGTGCGGTGGGGAAGCAGCTAGAAGCACTCGACTATCAGGTTTCGGGTCTCTCACGCAGCACGTCCACTCGACTATCCACCCACACGAGCAGATACACTACTTCGGAACTCAACGCGACAGTTTGTGGTTCCAAATACCGCCATTGATTATTTTTCTACTCCGCAGTCCCTAGACTGACTCCACAGAACGCGGGCAATTAGCCATTGAAATGCAACACCTAAAAGGGGTGTCACATATTCTCCTGTACGTTCGAAGCGCAATAACGATTGTCCACAAATTCGTCAATGGTGAAATATACTATAGAATGCGACCTTGCACTAGCCAGGCTGGATCGGGATTTGTCTGAGGCCGCAGTCACGACAACAATCGAACGACCCATAGTCTGGCAGTGTTGGTGTATTGCTGGCAATCTGTAAAAATACCTTGTTCGGACTCTTGGCAGCCACCTTGGCGGCCCCGCCAGGCATTACGAAGCAGCGCGCAAAGCGGTTGTTGGCGTCCCACTGTGTGATCATGCAAGTTCATGGAAAAACAAGGACAGGAGCCAGGCAGGCTTACTCGTCAACAAAAAAAAAACAGCAAGGAGCAACACACCAACGGAGTATCGCAAGAAGCAAGAAAATGTGGGGAGGCAAACAATAGCAAATACAGTAAAAAGAAACAAGAACAACATCGTATCATGAAAACCGGGACGGTAACGCTGTGCCTTGTCGTCATGATCACTCTACTTGTCCCAATAGATAGCCAACGAACGACATCGCCCGACGAGCTCTACCATCAGCAATCCCCGGGTACAGCTCAACAATCTCATCGCCCGGGTATTTATGGCATGCCGCAGTCGTCCCGCGGATCCATTTCGTTTTCATTTCTGATCATCGCCAGTGAACATGAGAACGCTCCTTGGGGGCGCCGATATGTTACATTTTTTTCATTTTTCGCGCCGGGGGGGGGGGGGGGGGGGNGGGGGGGGGGGGGGGGGGGTTGTACTCATAGTCGTGCATGCCGTAGTCGATAGACCATTGACCTCACATCCTTACAAAGCAGGGACGGAGCACGCCGGGTTGTCACCGGACCAGGCTCTCACATCACCAAGCGCGAAGGGCCGTGAGATATTCTGCGAGTCGCATGGAGGGTGCGCTCATCCTGCTTAGGGTGTTCGGTATCCTGTGCTAGCTTCCTTGCATACGGATGACAGCTTCGAATGACAGTTTCTGGTGCTTTCACTCCAGAGACACTCATGAGCACTGTGTAGCTGCCTCGAGCGTGCTTGACCGATTTGACACGGCGTGGTGCGATCACCCCCCTTTGCGAGGAGTTAGGGTTAGGGAGGGGCTTTACCTCGGTCTTGACGGTACTAGAGTGAACGTGTCAAAAGCCAATATTTCTGGGGGGGGGCAGTTTGTTGAAGGTGACGTCTTGCGCCCAGTAGTCAGACGCCAAAATCGGGGCCGGTGATCTTTTCCGAAAATGTAGAGACAGGAGTGCTCCAAATCGATAACAAATGGGGGAAATCCGAAAGGACCAAACATGTCCGCGATGTATTCAAGCAGATAAGAGTTGCAGGGACAATGATGCTACGATACCTGCGCATTCTTGGGGGCTATGCATGCGACGTCGGAGATCTCAGGCCTCGAGCTCGAAAACTTCGGACGCTAGGCACATTTTGAAAGCAAACAAGGGTCATAGATGCTGTTGTGGTTTAACTGGCGTCAGAGAGAAAGATCGGAGTGCCACACACGCAAGATAGAGGTAAAAAGCGCTCCCCGCGACAAACTTCAGTCAGAACACAAACAATCACCATGACGCAAATACAAATCCGAAGTGTTTGATCGAATTGTGGGCAACAAACTTTCTTCTCGCCTCTATCGAAGAATGGGTGTACTTGTCGCTCGCGTCGAGCTGCTCGAGAAGAGATGTGAGCACCGTGAATCCCTCCGTGCTGCCGCTGCCCGTCCTTCCCAATGCCTTGGCCTTCGCTCGAAGTGCGGTGCGCGGGTGGACGCTGATGCCTGACCCGTCTTTGAGCATCTTGGCGATCGCGGGCCCGGTGATGGAAGGGGTGGCTCTGACTAAGGTTGCGATCATCTCGTCGACAGCTGAAAGACTGGCGTTCTCCTGCTCGCCCGTACAGTTGTTGTGCACGTTACGGGCCTCGGTAATTTTCCACATCTCGAGATTTTTTCGCCTGGATAAGTATGGGAGGAACCAAGCAAAAGATATGCATCGTGAGTGACGTGTGTGTAAGAAGATTGTTTGTCTTGCACTTCGAAGTATATTCGTTCAAGACTACAATAGTCTACGCATCTTTCGGTGCGTACGTTTGACGCATCGTCGCATTCTCCACGTCGAGTTGAATCTTTTCATTCTACAGTAGTAGTAAATAGTGGCTTGACGAGGTTAACCCCAACAACACTGCTGTAGTCCACCGGGCAATCCGACTATTATTTCTATGAAACTTTCGGCGTACGCATCATCAGTCGGGACCCCACCGGAGATAGGTCGACTTCCAACTGACGACGCGGGTGCCTTCCGTGGTCACAGGCCAACTACCCCTAGAACAGGGTACAGTTCACACTTTTATGTGGTCCGTCGGGGCTCTCTTTTCACTTTGTCAAGCGGCACTTAGATGCACTTTTCTCGGGGGGGAGGTGAGGTTGTTCAGAATTTTAGAAAAACACCGCAATCGCCCGGTCTCTTGGCGCACACATCTGTGGATTTTTTTTTTCGTGTGTTCCACTCTTGTTCGTCTTTTGAAACGAGTGCTTCGAACGTTTCCTCCCTTTCGAAATCCTCCAGCTGACTAATCTTTAAGATTTTCCAAAAATGTAGCAACGCGAGATAGCCCCGAATAAGTGAATCTGGAAGGGTACTTATTGTTAGTCTCTTCCAGCGGCAAACAGTTTCAGACGGAAGGAGATAGCCCCGAATAAGTGAATCTGGAAGGGTACTTATTTATTTATTTATTTTTGCCTTCCGACAAATGCAGATGTACCTCAGAAAACTTTCACTTAATGTCTCATACTCTACATGAACATTAAACCAATACGAAGTACAACAACATATGTAGGACTTACTTCTACTGTCATTTACATCGTAAAAGTATCTCCTCTTCAACTTGAAATAAAACCAATGACAATCCTGATGGTATCCTATATGCGTTCGTAAGCTTGCTAAAATACTACTGCGTTGATGTCCTCTTGTAAAAGCTGAAATCCAACAAATGCTTTGATCCATGCTACATCTCCGTGTTGGAAAAGCCCTTTCATCTCCGTTCATGATAACATCTTACCCTATTCTACGCAAATCTGTCACATCTACTCTCAAACAAGACGCCAACTTCAAACGAAAACGCGTTCTACGATGCGTCTACACTCCATCCCCATATCATTGGCGTTGACTGGTCCGAGGTCGATCTTGTTCGCCTGTTTTCGGCGTCTTGACGCCCGCGCAATGCGAGCTTGTACCTCTGCACTCGCCGAGATATGGCCACCTGTGTAGCCACCGAAACGATCTGAAGAAGTCGTTCCTTGAAGACTCCTTTCAGAGCCATCGTTCCTCCGTCCCTTCCTCCCACGGCATGTGTCGCAAGTTCATCGATGAACTCGTAACCCTCCTCTCCAAGGCGGCCAAAGCTTTCCACGGCTAAGGTGGTAAGTTTAAAGCTGCGTTCGTCAAAGGACACGTGTCCCGGACGAGCGTAGTGCTGACGCTTTCGCGCCTCGGATGCTTGGGCTGCGATTCCATCGCTGGTCGCGCTGCCGTTCCGCAAGTGTACCTGTGCTTGCGGGTCTGCGTGTGTGACATCGAGGAGTATTCCTTTGTTGCGGTACCCCGGAGAAGATGCGTTCGTGAGGGCTCCTGGCCTGATGACGATGTCCATGCTCAGGTTTCTTTCCCCCGTGAACGGTGCCCCGCTTTCAACGTCGTGTTTGACGCGAAGGCCGTTGAGTGCTCTCGATAGTGCGTATTTTAACGGCTCGTGCATGTTGACCTGTGCTCCATCCCTTCGACAGGTCCTTGAGGGTACTTATTGTTCGTCTCTTCCAGCGGCAAACAGTCTCAGACGGAAGGCGGGGGGCGGGGGCACCACGTGAAATAACACATGCTGTCCGCGCGGACAGGGGGGGATGTACTCTCATCATGTTTTGCATGCCTCAGACTAGCGGTCAAGAACATTCATTCATTGACCACGCGTCCTCGAGAAGACGGAGCATTGTTCCCAAAGGACCGATCGCCGATGGTCAATCGTTTCTTCCTACTATGCCAAAGGTGTCCAAAAAATGTTTTCCCTAGCCGATTTGCTTATCCTTTCGATATCACTTCCCGCCTCTTCAACCCACTTTCCGTGCTCCATGCAGTACAGCTACCAACACCGTGTTCTGGCTATTTGATGGCTCAAACATGTCCCTGCACCTTCCTTTTCCGTTTCCCAGCTCAGTCATGCCTTGAATATATCTGCCGACTTGTTGGACAACGGACAATCCGCAACTAAATGAACCCGAGTGCCTTCACATTTATTACTATTAAAAAGGTGTCGTCACCATCGTCTACCTTCCGAATCTTCGTTTACGTTCTGAAAGACCAATGTCCCCAGTGCTAAATTTGGCCTTCATCAGCTTCGTCCCTGCATCCATTGGTCCATGTAGTAGTCCTTGACCCTCTTCCTTCTTTCTCGACCCTCCTTATTCTTGGTGTCTTTGGCTAGATTCTGTTCTTCTGCAAAACACACATCTATCTATTCTTGCTGTGAACCCCGCTAGACCTACCGTTTCCAATATATAAAAGGAGTATTGACTTCATCGATTTCGAACTCATTTCGCACGTCATCTAGATACAAACCTTAACCAGTCCGTGAGTTGTCTACACATTTTCCTTGTCTGCCTACTTCGCCTCGCAAGCTACTATTATGGGAAACCTCTACCCTCCGACATCATCCGTGCGGTACTACACGTCATTCATCTTCCATACGCAATGCGTCTCGCGCGGATGGGGGGGGGGGTACTCGTGGTCGTGCATGCCGTTGTCTTTAGACCGTTGACCTCGCATCCATACATAGCCGGGACGGAGCACGCCGTGTTCTCACCGGACCAGGCTCTCACATCACCAAGCGTGAAGGGCCGTGAGACATTCGGCGAGTCGCATGAACGGTGCGCTGCATCCTGCTAAGGGTGTTCGACATCTTGTGCTTGCTTCCTTGCGTACGGATGACAGCTGCGTAGACTATGACTTAGTTTCTTTCTGGTGTTTTCACTCCAGAGAAGTTGTAAGCACTGTGTAACTCTATCGAGGGTGCTTGACCAATTTAACACAACGTGGTGCGATTTTCCCCCTTGCGCGGAGGGAGGGTTCTCGACACCGCACAACATAATAAACTCGACCACCATTCACGGTTATCGCAAAAAAAATAAAGCAAAAAAAAAACTGTAACAACCTGGTTGCCGAGCTCACGAAGTGATCGGCTTGTTTTACAACATCGCTGCCAATCGACGAAAATCCAACCCCGGTGGCAAACACCGGGGTGGGCGGTGCCCGAACTACTGCTGGTGTGAAACACGCTGCTATTATGCTCTTCTTGAAATCCGCCCATCCATCACAACGACCTATCCGTGTCTTTTGCATGTGGAAATTGGCGTACAAATAAGAACAAGAATCCCGTTTACCCTACCTAGGGAGATGCCTGCCCTAAATATGAACTTCGAATATATGACCGTGTGTGTTCGGTTTGAGGAAACCAACAAGCGTCGAGCTACAAGTGCGGCGCGTTCTGTTGCCGATTTGTCGTGTTTGAGGGTTGTCTGTGAGTCCATTTTTATTTCCGTATTGATTTGTTGTATTCGAGACTATGCATCTGTAACAGATATTTATGGTCCACTCAGGACAATAATTATAATTCGATTTTCGTTTCAGGTCATTGCTTTCGAACTATTTCGAGTTAAAGGAAATTTCAGCCACGGTGCTTATTTTCACCACATCAAAGAGAGAAAAAAAGGCTTCAACCAAAATCGACAATTCTCCACACTAACTTAAAACTTCGGCCATGCTAAAAAAAGTAGACGATTGGAGAAAAATCTCTGTTATCCACAAAAAAACTGGGAACTTCTCGCGCACAATATTTTCTAGGAAACATCAGAAAGATAATCCAGCCGCGGAACTTCGAGCGGAATATCGTTTGCGCACTCTAATTCAAAACAGATAGGAGGGGTCACCTCCCCCCTCGTGAGTTCTTATCGTGCATTCGCCGTGTTTTGGGGCGATGCATGCGCGTTGGCCCTCTTTGCGGTCCTCGCGTCATCTACTTCGTATGCCGAGGAAGGTTCATCTGTCCCTTCCCTCATCGACCATGAAATCGAAGATATGTGTGATTAAACAACCGGTGCAACCGATTGCAAAAACAAACGAACAAACGTGGAAACTCTTGTGTTCGGTGGTGTATGTACCGATTGTTGTATTTCAGCAAAGCTCCTTGTGGATGAACTCGGATCGAAACTCGGCGGAGATATGTCGACGGAATAAGTTGCGTAACGCGATGCAACAACAGCAAAATAGCAATGTTGACGTTGCTCACAAGCATCACGTCGGAAAGCGTATGAATACATGATGAATGAACGGTGTTGTCAATCAGTCCACCACTCTGTATCCATAGATAGGTGGAAGAAGGAGTCAAGGTTATGCAGCTTGCGTCATTTCCTGCGTGCTGCCGCCTGCTCTGTAGTCTAATTCATACAACAACTAGTTTAGTGTGTGAAATCATGTGTGAAACGAAACAAGTCACGTTGCCAGAGAGCGTCTATTTCGACAGGGGACGTACTTCGAAGAGCGTGTAGACACATGAGAAAGGCAAGACACACAGTCTCGACTACTGCATAGCGTAAGCGCAAGCATGGGGCCAGCTCCCCGCCGAAATACAGTCATCATCATCAAAAACACATGGTGAGGTACTACTGTATGTACGATGATCTGGGCAGCAGCGGAGCAAGTGAACGTGGGTGTTCTTACCTGGACTTCGTCGCACGAACTCGAGCGAGGCAACCGACCTCCTTCTTTCTTTTGGCGTCGTATTTGCGCCCTGCGCAGCGGAAGATCTTGGAGTAGCCACCTCCACCGGTGCTCGAACAACCTCGGAGATCGCGCAAAAAGGATTGCTTAATAGCCGAAGTCACCTCTTTCGACGAACCGAAGACTTGCCCGTTCACAACGTGCTTGAATTGCGATGATGGGTCCATTTCTGTGCGGCTTGGAGGACCACGTCAAGAGCGAGGAATCGATCTGGCAACACCCGGACGGCTGGTTGAGTTCACGTTTGGCTGTGAAAGACGTACTGAACCGTCCGCGCTAGCCGGCCGACCAACGACACCACCAACCACGGCACCTGGAAGGACGGTTTGTAAATGTATGATGGGTGGTGGAGAAGGAGCGCGCCAAACACGTGCCGTGTGCACGAAATCTGCTTTCGTGGACGAATTAATCTGAAATCGTCGCAGTTTTTCTAAATTATTGGCATCAAAAGGAGACAAAACTCCGATGGCTCTTTCGTCTGCAACACACATGAAGTTGCTTGAACGCCAACCATTCGACGACGAAGGAGACGCCCTGTACCTCCCCTCTCTCACTCACTAAATCGACGAAGCTAGGGCGAGAGGGCAGGACAAAAAGTACAACCAACATCATGCCGTTGGAGCGCGGTTGCCGTCCTCTTCAATCCTCGCCCCCCGGCTATGTGTAGAGCGAAACGCAGTCATGTTCAGTAGTCGTGCGCCTTTCGGGTTTTCCGGAAACGGTCAACAAATAATAGACTATTTTACATTTTTTTTGTTGAGTCCGCAACATTGACTGCCACGCCCAGTCGCAATTGACAAAGCATGCATAGACAGATAGGTAACTTTGGGATAAGATTGCGTGAGCCTACGGTATTGTCTTCGCCAATATAGTCCGACGATGAGTTATTAGCGGGGCCCCAGCGGAAACAGAAGGAGACCCTTGTCTGCATCATGAATGATGCGCTTTTTGTATGTACTTCACTCAATTCGGCGGGAAGCGATTTCGTCACAGGTTTTCCGTTCACTCGAAATTGTCCGCAGACCCATTCGTCTTGTCTCTATCTGATACAACATCAGACCAATGGGTACCACGACAACCGACCATACAGCAGTATACAGTCCTCTTTCGTCTACTCTTTATCGGGGCTCACCTACATGTAGCTGCCTGTGTCTGCTCGATTCACGGTACAAACTGCGAAGAAACACGCCGCCCCCGCTTTGACAAGGTTGGGAGTACGGCACAATGAAGGACACGCCCATATCACGTTCAAAGACCACCCGCGAGAGCAATCACCTGTTGGGGGCGGTGTGAACTTTCTGTCTGTCTGTCTGTCTCTCTCTCTCTCTCTGTCTCTCTCTGTCTCTCTCTGTCTCTCTCTCTCTCTCTCCTACCCTTTCAAGCCCCTCCCCCACAGTTTGCTGTTCACCCCAACCATGCTGAAAGGGCAGAAACCCGCGCACAAGATATGTACGCGCTTGATGTTGACGTAGTATCAACCAACGGCGACTCTCCCTTTCCACTTTCGAGGCCACTGCTTGCTGTCCCTCTAAAGCTCTCTCCAATTCCACACTACTACTACTACTACTACTACTAGACATCTTTCAAACTCAATTCCCGTCTCCCGCATCCGGTTTTGGCGAAATTTTGGCGGTTTACTTTCCCGTTCCGGTTGGGTAAATATATGCGGGAAATAATTGGGATCTTCCACGCCCAGTTCACGCCGAAGTTCCTTCGATAGAGAGCCGGTGACGGGTACGCACAAACACGTTCGCTACGGCAACAGCTCCCCCACAACACCCCGATTGAAGCGCTGGGAGGCAAGTCATGGATGGCCATGAAAGCGACAGTGGCGATGAGGAGCAGCGCCGTGAGGCGATGTGTGTTGCAGCGTCACTGCTGATCGTCGACAGTGCCACCCAGACTGAGCAGGAAGAGGCCGAGTTCGAGGATTTGCATAAGAGACTCGAGAGCGACGCCATGCTTGCAGCCGAGACCGCGGTGGAAGGCGACGGTGAGAGCGATGACCTCTTCGGGATAGGGTCCCCTTTCGGCATGGCGAGCCACGGGGTAGAAGAGAGGATCAGGGGTTCGTTGATGGGCACCTGTGTGAGAGAGGCGGGGAAGTTGTTGCCTGGACCCGGGCGTGGACGGAGCGAGGCAAACGCCGCAGCATCGAACACGCGGCGAAACCTCAAATACCCGGACGGCATATATGAGGCGTGGTGCCAGGAGACTACGTGCCCTTTCCAACGCAACACGGGATTTAGGCGCAACGAGTTCGACGAAACCTCAAATACCCGGACGGCATATATGAGGCGTGGTGCCAGGAGACTACGTGCCCTTTCCAACGCAACACGGGATTTAGGCGCAACGAGTTCGACGACTTCTACACAGCGCAGGGCGGAGACGAAGGGCATCTCTTCAGAGTTCCAAGGGACATCGACGGGCAGTTCACGCCAGCTGGGAACAGTGCGCGACGTACGATCAAGGGAACGCTCCGCTACCGCGACCGAGTCCTGTGTTGGCTCATGATGCTTCGCAGGGGGTGTTGCTTCCACGAGATGACGACCTTGTTCGGGCCTGGCGAGTCGACCTTCTGCCGAGACTTTCTGTGGATGACGATCCAGGCCGCAACTCTTCCTTGTCTGGTTGACGTGAGTTATGGTTGCATCGCTATGTGATTTGTACTCGTATTTCACACGCGTTCAGAGGCATCGCGATGTACCGTAAATGACACAAGATACCACGCCCCCAGGAACGAATGCCAAAGCTCAATTCCTCCACAGCAGTGCAAATAGTGCCGTTGCCGACACGTGTGGAGTTGGGACCGCGTCGTCGAGATAATTCCAAATACACGTCCTTTGATGTAGGGTTACTGTTGGTCGTGTCGTCAAGCTTTGTACATTAGACCGGGTGTGGTATCTTACGTCACCCGCTGCTCCGTGTACATAGGACATGATAGTAGACCGCACGCAGTCCGTAGTCGAGACCGCGTGTACGCTGAGCAGGTGGCGTACTGCTGTAGGAGCCTATAGGTTGTGATAGGTGAGGTTGTCAGCGGCGAACTTGAGCGGGCGACATTTTATGGCAATAACCTACACGAACACCCATACCTATGGCCTGACGCCGACCCTCACATGCACCCCCCCACACACACACACACAAAATGCACGCGCTTGCGACGTCGACATACTAAGCAGGAGATTGCGTGGCCGTCCATGGAAGAGCGTCAGGCACAGGCTGCTTTCCTCGCCGCCACTTTTCACCCTAGGCTTGCCAACGTCGCCTACATTGCGGACGGTACAAAGGGAGCCGCAATGCGCAATCCTACGGAGGTAGGTTGTCAACGTTTATTTCGAGTGTTTTATCTGGGAATGGCTGAGGGCTAGGGTCAGCGGCTGCGGGGTCCGCTATGGCTTTTAATGTTCAAGGAGCCGATTGGTGTCGCTTCCCTTCGATTGCTTAGAGAAACGCAGTTCGAACGGGATGGGCTAGGGCTTGTTGCTCGAGAAAACAGGCGGCAAGGCATGAGCTGGAAGGGCTTAGCTCCATCGTGTAAAGGTCACATTACACGGCATAGGTTAGGCAGCCGAGAACCTCCAAATCACCCTTGGATTTTCGCTCAGTGTGTTTGGGAAACTCCTCCCCGAATGCAGCAAGTATTTGCGCTTTCGATCGCCACAATGCCGCTACACACGTGCAGGTAGGTACATGACTGCGCTGTGCCTGGTGTGAAGGCGACTTCAGGCCAGATGTTGAAAGGGATACCTGCGGGCCCTTCGTTCGCTATCGGATCTCGCCTAACACACCACCCCCACCCCACGGCGAACATGACACCCCCTCCTACGCAGCCCAAGGATGGTCGCCCGAAGGTTCGCAGGGCAGTGCACGGCCAGCACTACTCCCACAACAAGGGCCTGGGCTATAGCCACATCGTGTATGTCAACGCCCGGGGCAAACCAATACGGGTGAGATATCTCTACGAATGAAACTGAGTGTCGTACCTTTATTTGTAGCGGCATGGCTTTGGCACAAAGGGTTACCTTGGGCATGAACGCGCGGTCGTCTGTTCCACGGGCCAACTGTTGGGCATTAAAATCGAAAGTGTTGGGGTAGGGACTGGGCGCCACTGGCTGTGGCTCATGTTTGCCTATCCGTCCCGGGCTGTCCACCGTGCAAAACATCGCGCACTGCCTCAATGGTGTGTGCGTTGCGCCTCGCTCTCCCTCTTGTTGTCATCCCCCCCGACTCGCTACGAATACGAACGGTGACCAGTACCTCCTCACTGATTTTTAGCTACGTTATTTCACACAACCAACGAACAGCACACTTCCCCAATAGTACACAACGAACAAGTTGGCAGCTGCTGAACCCTGTGTGCACGCCTGGCTCTGTGTTTGTCAGTGACGGATGTTCCCCGTTTGTCACGGGGGTTCCACGTTGGTCGCTGATCGGTGACCTTCATCTCACGAGCAAACGCAACAGCAGGCGACCCTACTTGTGGGCTGAAGTTGGTCACAGCAGCGTCCTTCGTATGTACCTACCCTACAGTAGTAACTTGAAAAAATCCCGCCTCTGTCCGTGGTCGGTCGAGCGTCCCCACGCTTCGCGTCGTTCCCGACCTAGCTAGCGACTTTCGGGCAATATGGAGGCACCAAGGCTGGGTTTTGTGGGACCCAGTCAAAATGATATTGTAGTGCTCGGGCACAAGTGCTGCCTTGCAGTTCGGTGCGTAGGTGGTGGAACAGGCATCAAGCTTGTTTGTGTGAGCTCAACGCATGCACCAGAGAGCACCGACGCCATATTGTTTTACTACCTTGCGCCAAGCGTTTGCATGTGTAGGTGCGCTAGGGATGAAAGATGGTGAGAAATTAACTGCCCACCGCGGGTCATGGCCTGGACGGTGCGGCGTTGTCATTTCTTCCTGCCTCATGTCCCCCGTGTTCAACCTTTTCCGCGAACGTATCGATATAGGTGGAAACGGTATCTGGGCGGCTGTCTGACCGAGCTGCCCACACGGCCTCAAGGCTGTTCTTGGAGCCGGATGCGTTCCTGACGTTAGGGGAGACGGGTATGGGCGACGGCAACTATCGCGGGGATGCGAAGATGGACTCAACGGGCCTCGAGATGTGTGTCCCGTTCCAGTTTTCACCCAACTTGACGCATGAGCAAAGGGATTTCAACTCTCAGCAGAGGAGGGTCCGTGTTGTGGTGGAGAATACGATTGGCCAAATCAAGAAGTTCCGAGTCATCGGGGAGGGGAGATTTGATCACCAGCGGGACTTCGAGCCGCATGTGTTTGAGTTGTGTGCAAGGTTGACGGCGAGGATAATGCGCGTGCGGAACGCCTACCCCCGCAGCGAGGAGTGGTTAGTGAACCAGGTCTCGACATGGGAGTCGAAGCTCGGGGTGTTCTTGTGGATGGACCCCGGCGATGCGGCGTCGTATCTAGTTCACGGTTTGGTTGAGGACGCGGAATACGACACTGACATGACTGCCCAGCAGAAGGCTGAACTGCTGCAGGGCCGGTGGGAAGCAATCTGGGGGGCAGCGTAGCGGATTCCTCGCAGGTTGCAACTTGTCTAGCGTACATGTTTTGAGGTAATTGCCTCTCTGGTTTGAATGTAGCGAAGAATTTATAATTAGAAGCCTATCCCAACCCTGGAAAAGCCTTCCGAGGTGTGCAAGCCCCTATGGGGGCACGCCGGAGAGCAAAACACCATGGTAGCAGTAGGTTTGTTGCGTCAGGGTTTGGCCGTGCCTGACCTACGTCATCAACAGCATTTCATGATTGCGAGGCTTGTATGTGAGTAGCGCTCGGGGTCTCCCTCCACGGACAGTGACGAGCACAAGTCTCTCGTAGCACAGACTCGTCGCACCGCTCGAAGCAAATGTGCAGGCGCGGCGCAGTGCACGCGCCTTGTCCTTGGACGAAAAGATAAAGATGCCAGACGGCTGATATATAGTGATGTGTCTCGATTGACGTCCCGGCATGGGCCTGGACAGTGTACAAACCAACGGGACAACGGAATCGAAAAACACTGCTTTCATCAACCCAGTCTGCGAGCAATACCCCAACAGAACGCGAATTATCCAAGAACTGTTCCAGGACAGCACCCCACCGACAGTTACGCGTACTTCCACGCACAACACGAACAAAAATGATCACTTCCGGCGAAAGGCAAGTCTATCCTCAGATGCACGCGGCGTGCGTGCCTACCCGGGGGACCCCGGTCGCGCAGCCCGACGGACTGCTCCCCCCACCCAGCCGTCTTTCCGAACTAAAAAGGCAAATTCCCTATCGCTGGCTAAGCAACGTGCAGATCCTAACAACGGCGCTTTACATGCGGTAATTACCTAGCAGGACGCCTACAGGTGATAAGTGTCCAGTTCGGCAGCCCTCTCAGCGGTCTTTAGAACTGCAAGAGGGGTAGGGACTAAAGAACAAAGAGCGTACAGGCGTTGTTCCTTGACGCCATGCCAATGCACCCAGCGGGTGCGCCAGTCTTCGTAGGTCTCCCCCCCCTGGTCGTTGGCGGAGTCGTTCAGGTGTAAGAATAGGCGCTCAGCCATATCCCCGAAGCAGTAGTCCTCCAGCTCCTCCCACGCACCGTCGAGCATTTCCTGGAGGTTGCTGTTGTACCATGTTTCGAAGGTTTTCGCCCGCACCATTTTCTTCTGTTCCGACGATTCGTCCATCTTGTCAAGAACATAATTTTTCAGTTTATGGTAGGCGCTTCCCGTTCCGAAAGCTTTGTTGCAAACAACCATGTCGTCGTCCTTGGTCTGGCAGCGAGTTAGCTCCCTGTGGCCAGCCTGTCCTGGGGCGATATTGAGGACGCGCGCCCACCAAAGTCCCCCTGGATAACGCTTGGGCGGGGGGGTGTTGTACACGTACACCTTCTCCAGGTCCTGCCGCAGCGTGGTCTCCACAGGCGGCGCTGGTGCACGCGTCCCTCCGAACCCCTGCCAATTCGAACCCAACCTGAGCCAGTGTTCCATCCCCTCGCGTATGGATGGCTGGCGGTTACCCAAGGACGACATGCCTTCTTGACAAATGTTCCCGATGCTTGCTTGGGGTGGTGGGTGGTTGTGTGAGGCAAGTCGTATAAGCAAGCCACGAGGGGGTACGCCGATGAGCTCGAGGGGGGGGGGGATTATTTGGGCAGCTCCGTACGTAATGATTACCGATACCGTTCGTTGGCTTCCCGTCTACCTCGATGAAAAGCGTCACACCCAACCAATCACGCAATATTTTGTGGCGAGCTCTTAATTGTGCTTTGGGATTAATTCTGAGGGGTATGTTGGGGGCTCACGAGTGACGCCAGAAAACCCCCCCCGTCCTCCTGTCCCCTCCCCCTTCTTGGATTTCTTGCAGACTCCGTTTTTGTTTTTTTCGAGGGTTGTCGGCGCCCCCTAACCCCTATGGTTTGTTCGATTTCCGTCCATGTAAGGATCTGTCACGTAGTGAAACACACGCACGAGCGGATGTTTGTGAGAAGTACAAAACCTTAACCAGGCATCGTTCAAATCAAATCAAGAACAACTAGGCATCTTTGTTGTACGTCTCGTTTGATGTAGGGGGGAGGGGGTGTTGTCGTCATGAACACGAGGGGGATGGGGGTGGGGGTGGGGGTTGTCTCCAGCCCTGCCGTTGCCTCCCGGCTCCGTGCAAAAAAAAAGCAAGGGGGGTGGCAGCACAAAAAAATCTTACCCACCAGCAACGAGGCAGTTGTCGGTTTGTCCTTAACGTCTGGCACGGCATTCGTCTTCCGGAGACAAACTAACACGCAACACTTTTAGGGACCTGTGTAAGCGCAAGCAGCCAACGGACTCCCAGGCAGCTGTGTGGAATGCAAACGAAAAAAAAAACAATGACGAACTCCCCTGATCTCCAACCCTCCCCCCTCATTATTTTACAGCATGTTCTGCTAGACAGCGTCCTGCAGATTAGGAGAGTAACCCTCCAACATAGTCCGTACTCGTCTGTCCACCCACCCTCGACGGATGAACGGTACGGCGCGAGAATACAGGGACATGGGTTGTAGGAACAAAACAACACCACGCACACCCATCCGCTCGGTCGCCTCTCGATCTTTTTTTTTGCGATCATGACCCTGACACCCATCCTCTTCCAAGGCACTCCTTGTGAGAAACAGCCATTCCCCCTAGTAACTAAAGCTTCCACGTACTTCGTACAGAAATGCAAAACCTCCAGTCGTACCTACAGAGGACCGGAAACAAAAAGAAAGTCAAGTCACATAGCGGGCCTCTCTGTCGCTAAACTACTTCATCCGAGGGACGTACAACATCTCGTGAATGGTGTCGACCACCAGGGACGCAGTGCGCTGCGTGATTTTTCCTTCGCCGTAACGGAACAGTTTACTCTCGAATTTCTTCGAACTGGCCATGCTTATCATACGACGCAGGCTCGGGAACTGTTGTTCCACCTCAGCCCTCTGGTCCTCCGGCACGGGGGGCACCACGTCGCGCCAAAACGAACTGTAGTCCTCCCAGATGACGGATTCCCCGGCAGGGATCCGATCGTAGTCCGGGTTCATGCTCTGGACGAGCTTCTTGTGCTGCGCGCAGAGAGCGAAGATCAGACCCCCCCCCACCCCGTCAGAGCGACGACAACAGGGACAAGGGCCGTAGGGAGGACGAGGCGTCTGGTTAACGATAAACCAATCTAAACGTTTACCACACCTAGTAATGGGATCGGCGCAACTCACTGCGAGAGCATCGTGTGCGTGTGCTGACATACAGACACCCGCCGTTTGGTTCGGAATTGTTTCGAGGCAACGAACCAGTTTGTCTAAGACTCAACCGGAATCCGAGTTCCGTTCGCATAACCTACCAAGACTGCTATGCTGATCGTACTGCGGTGCTGTGCTGCGCATGAGACTCTCGCACCGGTTGTGTGCTGCTTGGTCACTCACCAGTCTTTAGTGGACACTATAGACGCGGGAACCTGAGCGAACGGTTCCACGGTGAGTCCAGCTGGGAACGGTTTCATCTTAACCCTACCTTACCCGCTCCAAGGGTACGTGGACAAATGGATCGGAACCTCAAAACCCGTACCACATCGCCGTTCGTGGAGACACGCCCTTCGAATGGATGCCTAGCCAATAAAGGGGGGCACGTCGAAGGACTTACGTTCTCCAGGGATTTCCTGCGGAACTCGTCGCCGGACTTGCGGAACTCGCGCCTTTCCTTCTCAGCGGCTTGGCGTTCTTGCTCCATCTTCTTGCCGTCCTCGATGGCCCTCTTCTCACGTGCATCCTTCCTTGCCT